CTGGAAATCAATCAAGCCAGTTGCTGGGAGCGTGATAGATCTTCGGACCTGGACCTGAGGGTTGCTGTCTTTGCGAAGGAGATGAGGTTGCCGCTTATTTCCTGAAGGGAGGGCCGTTCCTTGCTGCGGAATAAGCCTCTTTGCGGTTGTCATGCTAGAGGAAGGACTCTGTGAATTTTTGCAAGAATGTCCCAGTAAGTCCGATAATCTCTGTTTCTGAAAGTGAAGGTGTCATTGATTTAAGCCCTGTTCTTTCATCTCTGTCTGGTCATGCTAGGGGCTGTCAGCTTGGGTTAGGTGTGAAAGCCTCCGAAACAATTATAGCGTGTGAAACCCACTCCATCCATGGGGAAGTGTGAACACAGCCCCATCCTTAAGGTAAGTGGGAAAGTGGCCCCATCCTTGGGGCAAGTGTGAAAGCCGGCCCATCCTTTGTATGTGTAAGCATGAAAGCTGCCCCATCCTTGGGGTACGAGTGAAAACCACCCCGTCCTTGGGGTAAGCTTGAAAGCGGCTCCATCCTTGGGTAAGCTTGAAAGCGGCTCCATCTTTGGGTCGGCAAATGGCTCGGCGTGATTTTTTAGCATGAAGCATGCTCAGGCTCGGCTTTACTTGGTGTGCTCGAGCAGCACTACCTGGCTCACCCGCAATTGTTTCTCATCTTCAAGACAGCTGCCTCTGTCTTTGATCTAATGTGACTGTTTGGAGGATTAAACCATGGACATTAAGCAACAGCCCAGGAGTTTTCTGCTTGACCTGGATCATCCTACACGATGTTCAATGGCAGATCCGGGATCCCGTGCCACGCAAGCAGTATCAGTCGCTAGCACCTCATGCACTTTTCACCTTCATCCACCTTCCGAAGGTGTTTTTTTTTTTTTAATTTATCGCCTATGCAGAAGGGGATCGGCAGGGTGCATCAGACTGTCGCATGTGACAAGAGAAGCGGGTGGTGGCTGTGACATCATAATGAGCGTGCCCTACCAGTTCTTTCTGATGTCGTCAGCGGGTAAAGAGAGTGCACCACAGCATGGGCTGGGCATTGCCATCATAATGAGCATGCAGGGTTCTTGCATAGAGTGCTCAATTGTGTGGGTTTTGAAGGCGAGGAGTTGAGAAGTCCGTGTGGGATCACTGCATAAGATCCGCCTGGTGATTTTGATCGGGTGGTCAGGGATCACCTAGCAATTCTTCCTGATGTCGTCAGCAGGCGAAGAGAGTGCAACACGGCATTTCCCTGATGTCGTCAGCAGGCGAAGAGAGTGCAACACGGCATTTCCCTGATGTCGTCAGCAGGCGAAGAGAGTGCAACACAGCATGGCCTGGACACTGGCATTGTAGTGAGCGTGCCAAACAGTTCTTGGTGATGTTGTCAACAGGTGAAGAGAGTGCTGTGCACAACACCGCACAACCTCGGTGTTCACTTTGTGTGTTTGTTATGCAGAGTGCTCCGCCGTGTGGCTTCTTGAAGCAGCCAGTTGAGGAGTGCCTGCGGGATCATTGCATAAGATTGGACTGGTGATTTTTCGATGAGGTGGTTAGGAATCGCCTGAAAACTTGTAACAGCATTGCTGTCGCCTCTGCTGCTTTAAGTTACGGATTAAGATCATGCGTCAATCGAAGGGTGGCTTCATGACACCCTTGGCTTGTAGAAGCCTCAAAGATATATCAGAGTACTGTCACCTGATTCTTCGTCTAGTAGAAGTTAATGCTTGCCCTTCGAGTGGGGGTTGAATTGCCCAAGCAAGAGAGCAGAGTCGACCCCTTCTTGATAGCAATCCGCCAGAATGACTTGCTCATGGATCTCATGGTCGACACTGCCAACAGTGCGTTTTTCTGGAATTCGACATGGCAATGGCGAACCCCTCTATTCTTTGATGTCCCATTTTTGGGAAGCTTGTGGTCAGCCAAGCCCAGGAGAGGAAGAACGGGAATGACAAAGGAGATGCAAAGGGGGGAGGGAGAGGGAAAAGGGGAATGGCGTAGGAGAGGGGAACGGAGAGGAAGAGGAAGAGGAGTGGGGAGCAAGGAACAAGATGAAGAGTAGCAATAAAGAATTTGTCACGGAAGTGAGGAGTGCGATGAGGAGGAAGCAGGTGAATGGCGGAGGAGATTCGAAAGGGGAGGGAGAGGAAGAGGAAGAGGAAGAGGAAGAGGGGGGAGCCATGAACAACATCAACAGAGGCAATGTGGTTGCGATCCATTTGCAAATTTTGCGGTTATTGTAAAGCTCGCTTGTCAATTTTGATGTGCGTGGCAAGTTATTTTAGAAGATGAAAGCAAGGTGGCATAGAGAGCTTCTCCTACT